TTACTTGACACCTACTGTTGTGCTTTAAATCTGTTACTTAAAGGACCAGTGTGCTGTATTGTAGATCAAATGTTTGATACTGCCCAGCAGGGAGGGTACATAACAGAATGTAGGGAATACTTTTCGTCCCTTAATAATCAAGCCTTTTGTTTGCTAAATTGTGGCTTTAGGCTGAACATAACTTTGGAATTGCAGCATTAGTCTGAGATTGGATGTTTTGAGTGGAGTGGAGAATTTTCAAAACTTTACTTACCCAACTTTCCCAGAAGATGATTCCAGATCTGAGGAGTACAACTTTGGCTATATTAGCACACACTGAGTGATCTTAGAAAAAAGTGACACAAATATGTAAAGTAGCTGCTCTTATCCTAATGATCCACAAACTGTCCCACCTTGACATCCCCCCCCGGCCCCTCCTCCTCCTTTTTACTCACCCCTTCTCCTCCGTCTTTTCTCTCCCCTGCTGTGGGTCTCCTCAGGCGCATGAATGGAAGTCTTTATTCCCGGGAGAACTGGTGGGAAGAACGAGAGAACGAGAAACAGGGAAGAGGGAGGGGAGGGGAGGGGAGGGGAGGGGGGGTCAGGGGAGGAGGAGGGGGGAGTCTGTGAGAGTGGCCACAAGATCAACACAGTACCTCTTTTCTCCTCTGTCGCTTTTCCCTCCTTTTTTCTGCACCCCTACCTCCTCCCTCTCCTTCCCTGTTTTAAGTGCTGTGGACACAAAGCTGTGTTAGTATTCATGGTGTTTGTTTGCAGAGGAGCTGTGTGGTGTGTGTGTGTCTGTGTGTGTGTGTGTGTGTGTGTGTGTGTGTGTATATGTGTGTGTCTATGTAGAGCTGTCAGAAACACAGATCACAGCAAAGCAGCGCTCTGAATGGAGCTAGAGAGAGTGGGGGTGGGGGGTGGAAAGGATGGTAGTTCCCACACGGGGAGAATGGTCAGCTCCAGAAAAGAAGAAAAGGAGGGATGAGATGTTGGGGGGGGGGGGCAGTGCACAAGGCCACAGGGGCACTGAGAGACGGCATGGTGTCAAAGCCAAGGAGAGAGAGAGAGAATGTGAGAAGAGAGAGAAAGAGGGAAAAAAAAGCGAGGATGATATCAATCATAGAGATTTGGATGAAATGACTTTTTTTAACGGGTCCAGGCACCTCTCTTCTTGTTTTTCTGCTGGTCCTCTTTGGTCCCTCTCTGCCTCTCTCATTCTTTCACTAACCCCTTCCCTCCCCCCCCCCTCTCTCCCTCCCTCCCTCTGTCTCTCTCTCGTTCTCTTTGTGTGTCTGTCTGGACAGCTGCCCAGTTCCATACACAGGGAAAAATGAAACACTCTAACCACCGGGCATGCAGCCAACTAAAAGACTGCGAAGAACTATTTGAAGGGCAGCGTGTTTGTGTGTGTCGGTGTTTGCGTGCATGGAGTTTGTGTTTATGTTTAGTTCTGTACATGTGTGTTTGTGTTATGCTGGGGTTGTGAGATTTGGGCGTGCCTGTTTAGGGTGTTCTTTTCCCAGTATAATGGTGCAGCCAGGGTGCTCAGTGTGTGTGTGTGTGTGTGTGTGTGTGTGTGTGTGTGTGTGTGTGTGTGTGTGTGTGTGTGTGTGTGTGTGTGTGTGTGTGTGTGTGCGTCTGTGTGAGTTTAAGTTTATTCAGCAGTGGAAAACGAGAGGCTGCAGGAGAGGAAAAGGACAGGAGGGGCCGTCACATACCTTCCCTCACATCAAACTGGAGGAGTGAGGAGGGAGGGAAAAATCTGATCGTTCAGTGTGCATGTAACATTTAGACACACACTCACATGTATTTGTGAGTAAATATATGCTGACTCATTTGCAAAGTGTCTTTCAGTTGGGTGATCGCAGCACTTGGTCACATATTATCTATGACCTCCTCTGCCGCGCTCTGAACTGGTTACATCACCAGCTGAAAGGAATGTGCAGCTCCATATCTGCCTGAGTTCAGGTGTCAGAGAGCCTTTCTGTCACTGACTGAGAACGATCCATGTTGATACAGTGCTCACCCAGAGGAGAACATCCTAGAAATAGTTGTTGACCTAGCCGGGGAGCATGACCCTTAACCCTTAAACACAGCCCTGAACGTCTCGAGGGAGAGGGAGAGTGCATCAAACGGGCTAAGGACTAAACATGCTGCCGGTCTGGTTTTTGTTGGCCTCTCTCCTTATCTGAATGTGATCAGAGGTCGCTTGGTGAAAGACAGACGGTGTGGAAAAGGCCTAAGGCTTACAACTCTTGTGCTGGTGGGTCGCTCCAGAGGGTCAGAGTCCATGATAGTGCTGATTTCCTGAGCGCTGCCCCCTGCTGCAGACCAGCAGCTGCACAGGGAGAGTACAGTCCTTGTTCTCACTGTACTAAATGTATCTTCATTTCTAAAGCTTTCATCCAAGCAGGCGTCTCTAAGTGCTTCGTATTGGGCACAACTTAGACAATAATCAACATCAGTAGATACAATTTTGTAACACTAAATTGTGGACACAAAAACTGTTCAGAGGTTAAATAACACACATAAACACCCAGGGTAAAGCTATTGACAACCCAACAATTAACTGAGGTGGCAAGAAAAATGTATTGAGGCTATGACATTACTCCAAATGTATAGCCAGATTAAATGTTTGTAATTTCCTTTGAAATGCAGAGAGAGGGCCTGTCATTTTGTTATCCAGTATATTTATCTTTGAGATTTCAGAATCTTTTTGCACAGCACAGCAATATACATTAAGGACATCAGGACCCCATTACAGGAATAAAAGACCAATGCAAATCATGCAATAGATAAAAGTGCAGAATATACATCAAAACGCTTATCATATGAAAATAAAAAGTGTCATATATTAATGACCGAGGAGGTACTGTATACACTGTCTGCAAAAAGCAAGGAGAAAAAGAAGTTCTTCTCATACTGTGTTGGCTACAACAGCCACGGGAATACCTCCATCTATTTATATTTTCTTGTGTCCTTATCTGACAGTGAGTGTTTTCTCTTGAACAGCTTCATGGGGTGTCAGAGGTAGAGAGGAGGGGAGATGCGAGGAGAGGGATGTGGTAGAGGGGCGGAAACTATGAACAAAAAGCTGAACCAAACCACAACCAACTAGTCCAGTTGTTTTTCTTCGACTCTTTCGCTCTTCTATCTCTTCTAGGAAAGGTGTACATGCCCCCTCTCTTTATTATCTCCCTGTGGTGATAGTGTGGTTGGAGGGGACGATACATTTGATGTTTGTGTGTGTGTCTGTCTAACCATCTCGTTCTCATCCTCTCTCGCTTCTTCTGCCCTTCTTGAACCTGAAACAACAGATACTCTTGGACAGGTTAAATTTGAAAGCATGTGTGTATCAGATGTCGGTCATCTTATCCCTCTGTGGACTCACAGGGTCCCTTCTCCAGTGTCACCATGCACACTCAAACATTCCCTTTTACATACACACTAATATTCATCTCAGCGCTTAAAGGATACTGTAGTGTCGTGTGTTGAGGATATAACTGAGTGTGCACATGCATATGCGTCTTTGTTTATTATCAATGTTAAGTGATTGCTTGCATGAGCTGATTGAGTGTTGCGTAACTGAGCGTTCATGTGTGTCTTGGTCTTTGTGGGTGTGCAGCTTGCATCTGGACAACTATTGGCTTCTGCAGCCGGTGTGAAAGTACAAAATGAGTGTAAATGTCTGACTAATGATGGGGCAGCACAGTGAGAAAAAGGGATGAAAGGTTTGATAGAAATGGAGAGGGGTGGAGGAAGATGAAAAGTGGCTGATAAAATGAAAGCTTGACTCAACATTTACTGAGTAAAAGATAGAAAAGATGCTTGTTCTTTTTCATACGTTCCACTGTGATAAGAGAAGATAAGATCTATGTACATTAGATATTTCATTATTGTGTTTGTGTGTGTGTGTGTGTGTGTGTGTGTGTGTGTGTGTGTGTGTGTGTGTAAGAATGTGTCTGCTCACTGCTCATCCATCTTGAATGAAATCGGATGATTAAATGTTCATACATTAGTATTCTGTTCTATCTGTGAAAGCAGGAATTCATAAGCCTTTGAAATGTGTACATCCACTGTATGTGTGTGTGCCCGTGTGTGTGTGTGTGTGTGTGTGTGTGTGTGTGTGTCTCTGTGTGTGCGCTGAGAGGCAGGCCTGTGGTTAGGTTACATCTCCCTGCAGCGCAGCAGAACAGTGTCTTGTTGCGTCATACTGAGTCTGTTAATAACAGGCTAAACCACAAAAGCCATCCGCTGCTCTATTTCTCATCTTACTTCAGTACACTGATTATGCAGCCCTGAAACATTTAACAGGGTTATATTGTCTTTTAAAGAATACTAGTTGTTTCACATTTCAGTTTAACATGGACAAATGTAACAGAAAACATTTAACTTTTTTAAATGTGAAATGATTTGTGGCCCTTTAAATTTGTACAAAAAAGATGCCACAGTTTAGAACATACAGTCAATAATCAGTGTCGGGGTAAACAGTTTGAACAGTGTAACAGTGTTTCCAACAGAATAAGGGGATATACAGTAATAATATTTGATCTAGGGCAGCCAGGGACATGGAAGAGCTAAACTACTGTGTTTAATATTGTGTGCAGTCAGACATCCAAACTACATCCCCCCCAGCTCTCCCAGCATGCAACATCCTTGCCACAGGAATTTAATTGCTCTGTAAACAAGCCTTTTGTTTGTGGCCCACAGTTTGCTCATGCAGACAAGATGTATTTAAAGTCTCAGTCCTGCTGTGAAAAGACAAGAATGCAATATCAGAGCACAGCAATTCACAGATTTGACATGTGCCGACAAAAATAAAGTGTGTGCAGAGTTGGATGCTGTGCTACTTACCGGTATGTGTTATCTCTGTGAAAATATACTGTTATTAAGACAGGAAATAGAGCAGTCATTATCATATCATTTGTCATTCACAGCAGTAGTGTGAAACAGTCTTGTGTTCATAGTTTGTTTGAGGTAACCAGACTTTGTTTTCTTTTTTCTGTCATCTACAGACATATGAGCGCCAGTTCAGAATGGCTGAGCAGAGAGAGGGAGGCCTGCTGCAACTACTGGGAGATCACACTCCGCCCAAACACCAGCTCCGCAGCTCTCTCCTTCCTGCACACACACTCTCACACACACAGCAAACACAGCACACCCACGCGCCACAATTCCAACAACAACAAATCAATTCAGACTGGATCACGTCTACAGCACCTTCTGCGTCCCCGACCAATCCTCCAGATTCACAGACATCCCGAGAGCTGACCCAACCTTTCCCACGCTCAGCTACGCGGAGCCCCTCACCTCAGAGATCTCTGACTCCAGACCTGCAGCTGCCAGTGGTTACAGATGCCAGTATTCTCAACCTGACCTCTCTCAGCAGGTATGGTTTGGTTTAATGGGTGATCGTGTCATCAAAGACACAAGTATACGCCAGGCACACAGTTTGCTCATCTACACAAGATGTATTGAAAGCTTACAACATGTATCTTCTGTGTTTATGAGCACAGACACCCTTAAACCCAGAGAGCCTTCATACAATCAAATTAAACTGCACACTTTCCCCTCGGAATGCAAAATAAGATGTTTATAGGGATATTTTCTTTAACAATAAAATAGTTTTCATGTTGCTGAATTAATAAAAATGGGGAAAGGGAAAACTTAAAAATACAATTTATTTTTATATACTTTTTAATAATGAAGTATTTAATGTATTTAAAGTATTTAATTTAATGTTTATTTAATTGAGAGCTTAAGTTTTTTTTAATTCTCAGGGTACATAAATTTATGTGTGGTGACACACAGCAATAGTCTATGTATAAACTGCTGGAGATTGTATGGTATCCACAGAATACCTAACATTCCTCCTCACTCTCCGTTGATTTCACATGTTGTTATTTTTTCCTCTGTTTACCTGTCTCCAGGGGGAGGGGTTTACAGGAGGTCAGTGAGCAGCTCTTTGGGAACATCAAGAGGAAGTACGGCAGGAAGGACTCCCAGAGGATGCTCAGTAATCCCCTCAGTGCTGAAACACCTTGGGGAGGACAGCCAGAGAAAGGATCGGAGAGCCCAACTAATGCAGAGGAGAGACACAAGTACAGGCAGGAAGAGACAGCTGAGTGCTTCCATGAAGAAAGAGAGGAAAAGAGAAAAGAGGACAGAGATCGAGCAAATTCTGGGAGGAAGGGAGACGAAGACGACAGAGGGATGCTCATGCTGACAGAGGAAGGGAAAGGAAGGAAGAGGCGGAGGAGGCCTTCTTTTGACAAGTCCTTTTCTGCAGAGGAGCAGTCACAGCAACGGCAGGCGAGTGCAGAGAAGCACCAGCCTGGACCCCCGGAACCCAAAGTAGCACATAAGACAGAGGCTCACAGAAATGATTCTCGACTCACAAATCAGTCGGATGTGAGTCGAGAAAGGACAGAAAAAGGGGATAAATGTGATAAAAGGGAAAAGGGAGAAAGGCTCGACAGGTCAGAAAGAGGAGAAGTGGTTACAAGTCTGATTGACCCAGAGTCAAACAGGATGAAAAAGAACCCTGTTGGACGTCCTAAGCTCAGCACAGACGCCCTTAAACACAGAGAGCTTTCTCACAGTCACATCAATAAACCCATTCTTAACATGAACCCCAGACTCCCGAGCCCAAACCCAAGCCCCAGCCCAAGGAGTAGCATCAGCCCAACCCCAAGTCCTAAACCCAGGCTCAATATTTGCCCAAGTCCCAGCCCAAGTCATAGGCCCAGGGCTGCCCTGAGTCCAAGCCCCAGCAACAGCCCCAGCTCCACAGCCAGCTCCAGACAAACCAAGGCCAAGGACAGGTGGTCCTACCTGAAAGCCAAAAGCCATGCCTGTCTCTCATCACCCCAAAGAGACATCAGGACTAGCCCCTCCACCTTAGCTGACCCACCCTCAGCATTCCCCATCACCCCATCCAGCCCCCTCTATACCAACACTGACAGCCTGACGGTCCACACACCCATCAAGAGGAAACGAGGACGCCCCAAGAAACAGCCACTCCTAACAGTGGAGACCATACACGAAGGAACCTCCACTTCTCCTCCTAGCCCACTGGCACAGGAAGTGTCTGCAGGGCTAATCCCTAGTAGGAAGACACACACACTCAACACATTAATGCAGCTGTCCTCCACCACCACCAGCATCAACTCTACCAGTCTGAATCTGAAGCGCGGCAGGGGCTTTTCCAGGCCGGTGAATAAGATGAAGCTGGGTAAAATGCAGAGCATCCTGAACCAGATCCTTTCAGGCTCCAATCAGAATGGCACTCTAGCTCTGAAGTCATCCTCTGCACCTGTTTCCTCAGCCATGACAGCCATGGCATCCACCATCGAGGCTCGGCTGGGAAAGCAGATAAACGTGAGTAAGAGAGGAACAATCTACATCGGAAAGAAGAGGGGGCGTAAACCCAGAGCAGAAACTCAAGGCTCCAACCCTCTAAAAACCACTAGGGACAAGCCCCTGATGTCTGTCTCCACTTCTAGTCTCTATGAGAGCCCTGCAGTGCCTTCCTCCACCTCATCTCCCAGCTCCACATCCATCAGAGCCAGCCACCCTGATGCCACTATGCCAAGTTTGCAGCCTATCTCAGCCTTGTCCTCCAAGCCACCTGGCAGGGGATTCATCTCTGGAGGTTGGAAACTTTCTCCTCCACGCCTTCTGGCTAACTCACCCTCCCACCTGTCAGAGGGGGCTTCGGTGAAGGAAGCGACCCTGTCCCCAATCAGTGAGTCCCACAGCGAGGAGACTATTCCCAGTGACAGTGGGATTGGAACGGACAACAACAGCACCTCAGACCAAACTGAGAAGGGCCCCGCCTCCCGACGCAGGTGCAATACCTTTATAGAGCCTTTATTTAGTTTTATATTTTAACTCGCACAAAGTATTTTTCTGGTGGCATTAACATGATTATATGTTGTGTTCAAACAGGTACTCGTTTGACCTGTGTGGGTATGAGGCTGCTGAGGCAGCAGCCTTAGAAGCATCCAACAGGAACAGTAGAACGCGCTGCAATCGCCAAGTAACTACTGTTGACAACTTCCTGTCACAGCAGGAAAAGAAGCAAAAACACCATCGGAGGAAGAGGAAGTGCCTGCAAAGTCGGGATCATCTTCACTTTCTCTCTGAGCTGGAGGAGGTTAGAAAAACTGATGAAATTATAAATTCTTTGTGTAATTGTTGTTACCAAACTGTAAAATATGAATAGTATGAGGTGTCTTTTCCTAATTTTATATTCTTTTTCACCCTTCTTGTAGGTGGTGTTAAAGCTCCAGCAGCTACGAGTGTCTCACAGAAGATTCACCTGCTACCCCCAGCAACCTTATCCCTCAATTTTCCGCCTCAACTTCCATCATTACTACCCCGTTAGCTACGACTCATACTCGTGTGATTCCAGCTCATATCTCCGCAGGAGTGCCGATCTGAAGGCTAAGAGGAGACGTGGCCGTCCAGCCAAAGCCAACGAGCCAATCACATCCAAGCTGCCTTTTGTTCAAGGATACAGTTATCCACTGGCTGGAGGAAATTACTATGCAGCACCGTATGCTATGCCTTACGCACCCCATCTGAGTCTGGGCTACTTTCCTCCTCCTCCCCCATTTTACCTGCCCCATCACTCACTAGGCCCTGCACCTCCGTCTCCCTTCATGAGGCCAACCGTCCCCCCACCCAAGGCTTTTCACTCCAGTGGACACCCAAAGCTCCAGCCTGGGGCCAAGCTCCGCAGTGCCAGTGCCCCCCTCCAGGGCCCCTCTGTAAGAGAGGGCCTGGGGTCTCTGGGAAGCGGCAATGCGGGAACTCTTGCAGGGGTTCGCCTCCACAAGAGGAAGCACAAGCACAAACATAAGCACAAGGACGAACCCCTCCTTTCACTGCGAGACCGGCAGGAGCTGGGCGGGCTCTTCAGTGGAGCTAAAACGAATGCACGTCTCAGCATGCTGAGTGACAGGAGGGACCTTGTCAGTCAGGGCACCTCAAAGCATGTGGAGAAGCAAAGGGGCAGCGGGAGAGTCTCAGGCCTCGGGTCCAGCTTAGGGATGTTTGAGTCAGACCAGCTTTCCAAACACTCTCTCGCTGACAGCCAATTCCACTCCCGTCAGATACGACAGCCAATTAACAGCTTCAGGAGCAGCTACAGCAGCCAATCGCAGCGATCAGAGGCAGCTTCTGATCTCATTTTGGGGTCACACGAGGACGTGTGTGATGGGAGGAGCAGAAAGCCGGGGCTAGCTGTGTTTGGAGATCAGGGCCTACTGTCATTCCAAACTGCCAGGCAGGAGTCAGGACAAATTAACAAGTGCTCCAGTCCCTCCCTCACCGGTAAGATCCACTAACTTAACTAGGATTACATGTTCACGATTACAAGACCATGGACATGTATTAACTTCCCAATGCAATCTCAGAAACCATGACATCAGTAAGTGTCAGATGGTTGTCATATTTGATGATGCGTTGGAGGTTAAATGTTTGGCCTAAAACACAATTAGCTGCATGGTGCTTGATCTTCTATGTCTAACCAGTTCACTCAGGCTTGACCACCTGTAGCTTCCTCACATAGTCTTCACCCTTGGAAACTAAGCCTTTCAAATTTAGCATCAGCGGTAAGTGTTAAGGTGACATCAACAGTAGCTCACAACATAAATCAGCTTCATTAAATCTCTAATCACAAAAGATAGGAGATCATATTAAAAAATGTTGAGACTGTAAAGTGGACATTTGAGGGAAACAAATCTACAACTGACAGTGTCTTCTACCCCATAAAGTTCACAGCTTTAACATAGGCAGTGTTTTGAAGTGTGGCTTTGGTTAAGTCACCTGTCTGGCCCCTGATTTAGAGATTGATTCGTGTAATTTGCACGAGCATTTCTTGTGTTTATCGGCCGCTATGAGGGAACAGTATGCCGTAAAATGAAGCACAAGATGCTGCACTTGTACTTCAATGTGTAACAACAACTGGATGTTACAAGACTCTTCTGTAATCATGCCATACAGAGTTTGTAAAAATGTAAACATCACTACATTTGGAGCCAAAACTAAGTTCAGTGTCCACTATATTATTGTTTTCCCTAGCGATTACAAGCTTGGTTTTTTACTGATGTGCATCTTAATTACACATTTAGTGTAACTTTCCAGGGTTTTCACCTTTTTAAATGTAGGCTGCAGCATGCTCATCAAGGTGATTCCTATTTATAAATGTGCTTTGTACAGCATTCTGTACTTAAAGGACACAAAGAGGCAGGGGAGCCCCACATTCTCTTAAGCAGACTGAGGTGTATTTTAGTACATTCTGTTTTCTGCTGTCTTTGAGCACATCTGGCTGGGGATAGAGAGAACGTAATGCATGGATGGAGACAACTATAATTCACCAATCTCTCCTTCCTTTCCTCCTTCCCTCCCCTCCTACCAATGTCTTTGCCAGAGATATATTATTCACACAGTGTGATTTATTTTCTACAGACACGCCGTAAAAGGCCCTTGCCTGTGTAAAAAAGAGCTGGCCTGCAGCCAGGGCTTTAATGACTGGGGCCTAGTCCAGTGGCGGGGAGGAGAAGCCAGGGGCTCAGTTAGAATACACCCCCCCCCCCACCCCAGGGGAACCAGGACGAATGACTCATATACACGCTACCCGCCCCCCACTCACACACACACACAACCCCCATGTTATCCCTGCAGTGTTGTTATTCCTCTTCTACCTTCCCTGCCGTCAACTTTTTCCCCTCTGCTGCTTCTGCACTTCTTGCCCTTGATATCCCTTTTTTGCACTGCTCCCTCAATCATCCACATACCTACTTTTCTCCTCTTCCTCCTCCTATCTCTTCACACCTTCCCTTTCCCATTCTGTCTCCCCTCCCCCTCATTACCCTTTCCTTCCCCCTTTTCCCTCTGCTCCTCCTCTAGCATGACTTACTGCCTCACTTCACAGCCTTAGCCCAATTAAATCACAGCGCGTGGGTATAGACATGCATGCATGTGGGCTTGCAAATACAGGCATAGACCCAATCTAAAACACACAGATACATTTCAATGAGTCACTGATACAGATGAAAATGTAAATCAGTTTCTGAGCATGCAACCCTGAGTTTCGGAATTATTCCTTCATAGAACCAGTTGGTCGGGATGACAACATGTTTTTTATGGTATTGTATTATTGTTTTGTCTGGTTCTCTGGCTTTATTACACTAATCAGCAAAACGAACATGCATATTTATTCTACAATATAGCTGTGAACAACACACGTGAAGAATAACGTGGAGGATCACTGCGTCCTGTCTGTAACCTGTTTTGGTAAGTGCAGGGACAGTAGTTAAGTGGGCATGAATCTCTGTGTAGTAGTGACTTCCTACTCCACAGAGAAACAGGTCCTCAGTGCTATACGGCCCCTCACACTGCTGAAGGTCAGCGGTTTTATGTTCCGTGTATGCAGCTCATAAATTTCTGCTACTTTGTGGTGTGTGTGTGTGTGTGTGTGTGTGTGTGTGTGTGTGTGTGTGTGTGTGTGTGCGTGCGTGTGTGTGTGCGTGTGTGTGTGTGTGTGTGTGCATGTGTGTGTGTGTGTGTGTGTGTGCACGTGTGTGTGTGTGTGTGTGTGTGCGCGTGTGTGTGTGAGAGAGCTGAGCATGTTAACAGTCCTGTGCAGCTCATAAACTACTGCTACTTAGTGCTTTCTGCATTAAACTAATTTCCCAAAACAACAATAGAGAACAGACAGTCGGCTGAGCCTCTCGTTATCTTCTCATACCCACAGTTCATTTGTAAATACTATAGCCTTCACTAAGCGCTACACTTTAAAATTGTATTATCCCCCTAAACATTTCCATTTGTTTTTCTTGAAATACTAATACATTGTATAACAGTTGTTATTATTATGTATTGTGTATCAGATTGTTGTAAAGCTTCACTGATTCTCTGTCAGGCTTTAAGGCACAAAAATGAAGTATCCTAACAGAGGATGCCCTGTTTTTTTTTAAACAAATGAAATAATCTTATTGTGAGCGTTAGTCTTAAAAATTAATCGATTAGCCGATTTTGTTTGATGCAGACTGGTGTTAGAGCACCTGCTACAATGTATCAGCAGGATAAGAAGAAGAGGAAAGACAATCAATGGTTAGGGAATGCAGTGATACATTTCTCAAGAAAGAAAACACCAAACATGTTGTATGCACACTGCATGGGGACTGGTGTCTGATTGTGCTTTTCCTCCATTTTGGCTGTGGCTCCGTCTGAGCGTTGGGAACGGTGCCCAGGCAGAAGAGGGGGTGGGGCTAAGAAATGGGGGCAGAGATGGGAAACAGAAAGAATGACAGAGAAGGACCAAGACCAAGAAGTGGTTTCTGAATTGGAGACGGAAATGAAATGGTGTTGTGTTACCAGTTTAATTGAAATTTAGAGTGTTGAGAGAGAAAGAGACAGAAAGTGATGGAGAAAGGGGGAGAGAAAAATGATAGAACAGTGTGTAAAGGGCACACTGCCCAGTTCACCAGAGTGAAGAAAACAATATGGCTCTGGTTTCTTCTGCTCAGCCATTCTGAACTGCTGAATTCATTATTTGTGCATGCTGTGCGTGTGGAAGACTGTACATGTTGTGTTTTTGTGCTCGTGCCTGTGTGCATGTGGATAAGTGTGTGTCTGTGTGTCTGTGTGTATGTGTGCATGTGGATGTGTGGATGTGTGTATGTGTGCATGTGGATGTGTGTATGTGTGTATGTGTGCATGTGGATAAGTGTGTGTGTGTGTGTCTGTGTGCATGTGGATGTGTGTATGTGTGTGTCTGTATGTGGATAAATGTGTCTGTGCGCGTGTGGAGAAGTGTGTGTGTGTGTCTGAGTGCATGTGGATAGTGTGTGTTTGGCTTTTTGGCAGCCTGTGCTCCAGATGCACAGGGGTGTTATTGTGTAGCGACATATTAAATGGTTGAAGGAGACATTTCTGTGGGTTTCCTGCTCACAGAATGGGATCTCCTTCTCTCCTCTCTGCTCTGTAGTTGACAATTACGGGATAGGATCTGCTCTCCTGGCTCAGCTGGGCTTTCAAAGGCTTACATGAATATGTCAAAATTAGCAGGAAGCTCTTGAAGCAAAAAAAAAAAAAGAAATCTATGAGCTTAACTGGCAAGATGTCTTTTCTGGCCTTTAAAGGCTGCTCAGTTTGACCGACAAACTAGCATGAAAACTCCTTGCTCCTTTAAATACTTAACTCATGCTCACTCTCTCCTCCACCAGGTGTTCCCGGTAAGAGGAGGTACAAGCGACACGAGGTGGAGCAGATCCAGAAGGACGTAAGGAGGATGCATTCTTTGAACTTTGAGCATGTGCAGAAAATCCTCCGTGCCAAGCGCCTGCAGCGACAAGCCAAAACAGGAAACAACGTCATCAAAAGACGGCCAGGACGGCCCAGGAAACAGCCTATAGAGGAACCAGAACAGACCAACAGGAGGGAGGAGGATCCAGCTGATGGTCGGGTTTTGGACATGTTGGCGGGAAGGAGAGGTGATGGTAGGACTCTGGGAATGCCGGTCTTGGAGAGGTGCGACGACCTGCCTGGTAGGCAGAGCCTCAGGCCGAGCTTGACCCCCGAGCCCTTGGAGTTCTCAAACCACGACTCCATCTCAGCAACTATTGAGACTGTGGTGCATCAAGCACGAGCTGTGCCTCAGACGGCTAAAGGCGGGAAGCGCAGAGGCCGTGTCCACAGCAGGGACGAGTTGTGGGCTCCATCTAGTCTATAGACCTGCAGGAGAAAGGGACTCGGTCACTGATAGAGAGCTGTTGTGGAGCCAGTGCTGTTTGAAGCCTATTAGATGCAGTGCCCTTAATTGTGGGACTCCTTGGTGCACTTTGACTTGTCTGTCCTCTCTGGTCTGTGAGGACTTCAGCGGAGGAGAGAGCCCCTGCTGTTCCCTCCCTCCATTTATTAAATCAGACATTAACCTTTCAAGGTTTCATCGGACTTCACTTACAATGGCACTATATGGTACTATTTGATACTGAATCTGATGCTATAAAGTGTGGTACTTATGATAGTTTAGAATTATTATGTGAATCTTTATGTATCTGATAAAGTGACGTGTATGGTACTTTATGATACTGTATCTGAATGTGGCTTCAGCCATATATTTACCAGCAAGGGGAGGGGGATGGTTAATATTAAACTGTGCAGCTCTGCTTATTTTTGCCTTTCTGAGGAAGCTTGTCAAAGATGTGGGATAAAACAGCAGTAAATAAGCCACCTTACCCTTTTTTGTGTCCCTGCTCTCTGCTATATTTACCTTCCTTGTGTTCTTCTCTCTCCAAGGAGTAACCACTACCTGGTGGCAGCTTCTCATCCCTGCTCCCCCGTCCCTGTGTCTATCCAAATTCTTTAGCCCTCCCTGGTGCATGCCGCTCAACTTCATCTCCCTTTCTCTCTCTCTTCTTCTCTAACCTCGATCATATTTTACATCTCACTTGCTTCCGCTTCGTCCTTAAAACTCCTCCTGTCTCATGTATTCTCCCTCCCTGCTCAGGCCTGTCCTGAGTACTGACATCAACTGTCCCAGACTGTACATAGAAACAAAGTCCATTGTCGCCTGCCTTGTTCAGTGAGAGACCAGCTCATAGATGTGTACTGGCACTCAGTATATCAAATAGAATTGTTGTACCATAGACAATGGAAGCTGTGTATTGTTTTATAACCAAAAACAGACATGGGTGCGACTCAAGACAAGTTTGTTTTCAGACAGAAAGAACCGCATGTAATCATTCATACCCTCATTATTGTTTGTATAACCAGGGGGCATTGCATACAGGAGGAATATCAGGTGTATTTTTTGGTAAACCTTAAAATTGGTTTAATGCACTATGAAAAACCATACACTTGCATCAATCAAATAGAGCACTTACATGCTTGTTCCAGCCTTATGTTTTGGCCTTCAATGGTGTGGATTTCCATTCCAGAGAGCATGCATTATTTTAATCAATTTGTATATGCAGGCTGCGCAGCCAAAAGCGTCAAACTGGAGCCCAGGCCTAAATCCTCATAGGACAGTTCAGTTAAAGAGGGCTCACAAACAGTGTTTTGAAAAGTAAATCCCATACTTTCTACTTAACATGATTTTCAATCCATAATCTTGGATGTGTTTTTTCTTTTCTTTAAAGTAAATCCAGTATTTAGAATTAGAAACCAAAGTCTACGTATTCAGTGTAAGGATGTTTTATTTAAAATAATCTAAATCAGAGTTGGACATAGTCTCCATCATGTTGGCACTAAAGTGAAGCATTCCTGTGTGCACTTGAGAATGTAGCCATCTTGGATTTCTGTGTCAATGTGTAAAGCCTTTGTTAAACTCTACCTACAATGTATGTCTCTTTGGGTAGTTGTTGGTGTTTTTCTCAAATAAGTATTCAGAATATGAGAACTGGATCAGTATTTCTTTGGCGACTTTGTTAAGGTTTAGTTTCAGGAGATTCTGTCGTCGTTGGTCGGGTGGAGTTCTCAGTAAGCAGCAGTTCAACTTGTGCCTTATGTTTCTTTCTCTCACCAATTACATTTGACTCGAGAAATATTGAGTGGCAATGAGTTATTGGCCCAAAATATTCATGAATGTGCATGTGTCTCAGTCATCAGAGCCCTGCCACTGCCTGTGTCCCTTAACAGCTTCTATAGTCAGCATCCTCTGTCACCTGGCAGCTCACCTGTCTCCTTGTTTCTATTCAGGCCCATATCAAAATAACACAACTTGAAGGGCCGGACTGATGGATACAATATGATACATTTGTATTAAAACACACGTACTGGCCTCAGAGACAGAAGGCCAACCATGCCAAATGTGTTTCTATCCAGATATATTGATAATTCTCGGATACAATTGACTATCAGTGAACTTGCCCAGTATGTTTACCAGTTGTTTACAGCATACAATTGGTTTTGTACTTGGTTAAGGAGGAACAGATGAGGATGTCAAGGAAACCACACTCCTGTACATTGTTGTTTGCTATGCATCAGGCCATGCCTGGCGTTGACCTTAAAAGGAATTTCTGTTCTGAGTCCACCCTTTGACAAAGAGAAATAAGTGGTCTTATTTACTGAATAAAATGCATCCGTGCAATGCGAATTGTGAATAATACCAGTAATAAGTTGTGCAGAAAGTGACTATCATTTCATGAAAACTATAGTTACTGCAGCTCTATGCAGTACAGCCTTAACCAGATGTGAACCTACAGTTTTGAAGTGTTTGTTGTAAATAGTGTTAGTATGTCCGTCCTGCATGGATACCAGTTGGGCTCTGCTATGCTGGGACTGTCTCCCAAAACCACAGTAGACCTGCTCTCCATAATAAGACTGCTTAAGACCTAAAACAAATGTTTAGAAATGTCAACCCTAATAGATTTTCTTTGTTTAAAATATTCTGATAGACATTGGCAGTCCGTTAAATCACACAGACGGTAAACTGAGTTTCCTTTTTGAACCACATTAAGTTCTTGGAGGATATAAACCCCACTGTAGGGAACCAAACCAAAAATAGGGTTCCCTGCTGACTTGCAGCTTTCTGCCTGCAGCCAGTTGGTGCATTGTAGGAGCATAAAGCAACAAGAATATGTGTAAGCTCTCAGAGGAAATAGCCAAAAATACTCTCGTCCTCATATTGGTGCGCTTGACCTTGCTTTGATAGATGACTTTCGTTTGGTCTGCAGTCTTTTGTGGGGAAGATGAGGTCTAGACATGTGGTTCTTAAGGTGTAGAGACTTCATGCTTGGCAGCTTACCCCTCCATACTGTGGTCAGGCAGCGGTCTCTGGTGTAAGAGTTTAAGACCCAAGGTGTTGTCTGTCCTGTCTGTCTCTCTTACCAGCCAATGCTCCGGTGCCTTCTAACACTGACAAGTATTGTCCTAATCCAGAGCTTTCACTCTACACAGGCACTGCAGAGGGGATGTGTCTTTGATTAGGGTTCAAGGTCTCTCTCTGTTGTATTCTATTTAGCAACTAATGTGGACCAGTAGCTACAGGAGGCCTCAGGCACTAATGTAAGGATCCTTTACATTGTCTTTGGTTTGATCATCAAGGGCAACGCAGCAGTATTTGACCTGAAATCAGTGTTTGGGCTTTATATTCTGTAGTCTACATGAAACAGTATCCAGCATGGGGTATAATGGCACCTACATTTCAATCACCTCCTCTGTAGCGTACTGTGATGAGTGTACTAGACATGGAGTGAGGGGTCACATGAGACAGAGCCTCATTAATATACATGTCGTCATCCTCACAGCGTATTTTACACTTCGAAGCTATAATGTTATTCAAAGCTGAAAGTGCAGATAAAGCATTGAGAAAAACCAATAAATGTACTTCTTCAGAGCACAAAGTGAGCTCTTCTAACAGTATGGGCATATTTTAGTTTGTATACATAGTGTATTTGAACCTTTTTCTAGAGTGGGTTTCCTTGATTTGCATGCTCAATTTGATTGTATGCATAACTATTTTAGAAAAGCCGAAAAGTTAAATTTCAATTGAATTTGGAGCAAGACTTGTACATTGTTTGATATGTTTCTTTTTGTAATGAATTTTTTAATTCATGAAGCATTTTTGTACATTGTATGAATATTAAAAACTGCAAATATTTGACATATAGAGTAAATACTAGATGCGCATGCATATGCATATATCCTTCAGAGTATGTATGTGTAATTGTACACATATTTTGTATTTGCATCTGCTGTCATACAGATATATGTCTTAAGCACATATATACATGCAATATATATGTATATCCATGTCCGCTGGCATGCTTTTGGTCATGTTTATCTCTCATGATCTAGTAGGTGCTTTTTTTTTATTTCACTTTCCTGAGAGAGAAAAGCTCATTCTTTTGCTACCCTTATGTTGGCTGGCAGCATTGAGCACTTATTAAAAAGAACTACAGTTGAAGTTGTTCATGTTATCCATTGTGTGAAATAATAAATGACTTTATTGACAGCTGGTGGTTGCATGTTTGTCCTCTTCTTTATTAAGATTTGAATTTCTGATAAAACCCGAAAAAACACATGCAAAGATGAGGCTGAAAAGATGAGAGTGTGTGTAAGTGGGTGTGCGTAAGTAAGTGTGTGTATATTATGCATGTGGAAGCAAAAAGGTTTTGCTGCACTCTTGGTGCTGCAAAACAGCCGATCTCAGTGAATGAGTACTACCACACTGTGTTGTTTCGGTTAAAAGAGAGGGAATCCTCTCATCAGATTACGCCACACTCACACTCATACCTACACACTCTTACTCTTGTTCATTAGCCAAGCCTGCAGCTCTTAGTCCTGCCTGCACTAGCCCATCAGTGTCACTTCAAGGTGGGCTGGGCTGCAGGCTGCTCTCTCATTGGACAGAGCTGAGTGGGAAGTGCCCCACTATTGGCTGCTGCCAACTAGTAAAATTCTTCTGTTACCATGGTTGCAGGGTGAGCTGCCCAAATGTGTCTCAGTGTACCGAGTGGTGCTGATGGAACTGTTGGCATCTGCGGTGTTAGGCTGGAAAAAAAAATCTTCTGATGGGAGTCAGGGCTGCAGAGAGGCTGCACCCAAATCACTCTCTACTGATGCCTGTAAATGAGCCCACATGGCCCCACTCCACCTCCTGCACCAGAGAGAGGATGAGACAGATCACCAGAGCTGTGATCACCATGAAGCAGCACAGAAAACACATCCTGCATGAAAGATGTACTGTGGAGCCAGAGCTGCACTTAAAATAAGAATACAGGATCATCAATCTTGAGCGCAGTGTGCAGATATTCTCAACATATTTAATGTCATGTTTAGTCATCAAATAAAATATGTCACTCAAGCTATAATTAGCCGGGTTTTAAATAAAAAAGGTAAAGCGAAAAACAAAAAAGCACATGTATATTTTAACATTTCAACATATGTCAACCTAAATTGACAAATTATTCCACCTGGTCAGTAGGTGGAGCCCCAATCCTTGACACATCCGTTTTCCTTGAATTCACACTAAAGCACAAAATTAGTCCAAACTATTCTCCAATGTATATATAATTTTGGCGTCTAGTACATCTCATATCTCAGTTTACCTGACATATGAGCATTATAGAAATATTTCTGGACATTTGTAGTGCATAATAAGATAAAATCAGCAAGAATATATGTTATGAGAAGGTTTTTGGAAATACAGACTATAATGTAAAAAAAAAAAAACGTCTTTCCAGTCCTTTGTGGACCTTCACCCTGTAGAATATAGGGTGGACTGTGATAGTGTGATACAGTTAAAAAAAATGTGTGGTTTAAGTTCTGTAATCAAATTTCTTACGCATCCAACACGTGCTGTTTTGCACTTCAGCTGGTACATTTTAGCTGAAGGGGAAACTAAGTGCACATGTCGCTTCTGTAAAACTGGCATGCCACGAACAACACCGGCAATCTAGACTATTCTAGTCTTGTAAATATGGATGGCTATAACATCTTTCGTACTTACTGCCATGATAAAGGTGGGCTAAATCTGACCAAAACCTTACTTGTATGATGAGGTCCCTGGCCTGAACACAATCACATGGCTAGATTTTGTAGTTATTATGGCACCATCTACTGCCTTTGGGAATTTGCAGAGTTTACGCTACAACCTACAACCTCCTACTCCAAGGCAGACATGCATATCTACCTAAAATGAATGTTAAGGCACTGCAGAGGGGATGTGTCTGTGATTGAAGTTCAATTATTAAATTATTATTATTATTATTATTATTATTATTAATAATAATAATAATAATAATAAAATAATTGATGTTAATTAAGCATTGGAAAAAAATGTGGGTGTTTTTGTCAGAGAGCGTGGCAGTTGGGGCGGGACTAACATAAAGGTTGCCATGATGTCTAAAGCTCTTCTAGCTCAGCTGTACATAATCACATCTGCACTAAAGTTTATCTGCTTGTCCTGCCCAAAACATTTCACAAATATCACAACACCACCCTCTTGCCATAGGAAGTTACTGCTTATGAATTATCAGTTACAATTCCTTTCCTCTTGGTTGAATCCCACTCAAATTTGATCAGGCAAAGTCTACATCTAATACAGTGGCCATGCAAAGCATCATAGGGCGCACTTACAATAGGCCCAGTTGACCCATATCGTGCCAAAGTATGATTGTCCCCCCTCCCCAGTTCCTTGCTGGCCTGCACTCACATTGCTTCAGCAACGGCCGGGCCTGAGCACAGTTACCTCTTGTACATACATCAACAAGTCCTAATACAACACATACACAGCTTTAATGTCCTTTAATTTACAAGGAGTGTGGTTCAGAATCAGCACAATGCAGAACAACACAAAGAACATGACTGCAACTTAACTGACTTTGTCGCTTATTTTGAGTTGTTTTGGTCAGCTCCAGCTCTGCACTCCTTTCATCGATTATACATCTTGTCCACATTGCGTTTCCTGTGCTTTTGCTTGAGCAACCGTATGCCGACGCAAACCTCTTCCAACCAGGGCCAGGGCCAAGGAAGAGCACGGTACGGAGCACTACCACTAGTCAAACAAACTGGACATTGACGATCAAACATACTTGAGCATAATACGTATGCCTGGTGTGAGTGAGCCCTTAGACTCATATTGTAAAACCGACAGGAAGTCAAATTTTGAATATTTCGCACAGGGATGCAAGGTCCCATTCAGAGTTGATTGCAGCCCTAGTGTAAATTATTATTTTAGAGATCATAAATCAGCACGCTGTCAGGTTAAAGGACCTAACAGTTTTTGGGATAAACTCTATGATATTATCATTTTAAAGATCCCATTAATATTGTACATATTTCAGGTATTTCAGAAACAGATATATTTATTCTTTATTCTGTTGATACATGTTTCTTTAGGCCATACAAGATGAACTTCTTTCTTACCCATGTTCTTTCCTAAAACTGTCAGTAGTTGTACCATTCTGTCGCATGGACACATCATGTTTCATACATGATGTATGAAATTCCACAAACTGGCGCTCCTTCATCTTGGCATAAGCTACACAGTCACCTCAAACGTGCATGCTGTATTAGATTATTGAGGATGTTTATGCACATGTGTTACTGCTAAAGACTGAGAATTTGAATGCCCCGATGTAATTTTTGCATGGTCAGTTGTTTGTTCTTGTGTGAACTTTTTAAGCTGTCTTGGTCAGGACTCCCTTATAAAAGACGGCTATCCCCTCACCACAAACATGCTCCTGGACTGAAAGTAGCAGTACTTTTTCTGCAACATTTTTGAACCTTTTTTTTTTACACTATATTATGATTTTCTCCAAGTCTTGATTAAAATGTGCAACAGGATCCATGACTTAGTGCAAGTGACTATTTCAGGCATGTCCACAGCCTCACAGAATACCAACATGTTAGACAGAGCCATTCATTTACAACAGATAGTCCTGCAGTCCAGCCAACTCACAGGACGCCTGCCATCTAACCAAGCATCCCCTCAATTTATCTTTGTCGCTGTTTTCAAAGGATGACTATTGCTTGTGTTTATGAAGATGGATAGAGCAGGAAACATCTAAGCACACACCCCTCTCTGGCTCCCCCTTTTCTGTTTTTCTCCCCTGCTCAGTGATGGCAGTGTTTGGAGACACCATCTGGTGGTGAAATGTATGAGTGCGACTAAAATCCTTCTGCACAGCCACAGAAAAGAGAGCATGATCCCTCATTGTAGAAAAGGCAGCAACATGGACAGGTAGATGGACGCTATCTTGAGATGAAGGATTTTTGTTGTTGTTTTTTCCGCTGTCTTGGTCAGGAGTTAGAGTTTTGTTGCTTTTTTTTTTTGATAATAAAATGTTGAACTATGACCTTTTGACAGTCAAACCTACACAGCCATGTGCTTTACTCATGGCTCTCTCAAAAGACCAGTGTAGGGAGGGATTATTGTAGCAGAAAGTTGGTCATGTCTGTGTGTGTGTTTGTGTGGTGCATTGGAAAAAAAAAACACCAGAGATATAACAGAGTATGTTCTGCATGGAGCCGGTCACTGTTGCCACGGTGACAGTGTGACTCACGGCAGTTTGATTTGGATTTAGAGCAGTGCTGTGTTTAGTGTATGTGTGTGTGTGTGTGTGTGTGCGTGTGTGCGTGTGTGTGTGTGTGTCGCACGTTCGTGTGTTATAAATATGCCCACCTATATTTAAATAAAAAATTTAGTATATTACAGGATTATCTGGGTGCTGGTGGGATGAAAAAAAAGAGAGAATTTCCTGAGAGCAGTAGTCGAGAGTAATTGTCCAACACTCTCATGTCTGCTCGGTCACAGTTGGAGCCTTTGTTAGCAGATTGGTTCTGCCTTAGTCGTATCAATGATGCCAACACTTAGGTAATGTGCCTTTTTAATGAGAGTATAGGCCACTTAATCTATCTATTCAGGCTTCAACTTGCACACACAATCTTCCTCTCTCTCTCTCTCTCTCTCTCTCTCTCACACACATACACACACACACACCTCCCCTTCAATCCTCCTAATAAGCTGTCTCTCTGTCTCCTGTAATTTGGCAGACGAGTCTATTATATGATACAGTCATATTTTATTAATGGACCCCTGTAGCGAACACACACACGCACCCCTTGTTGGAGGAGATTATGTGACGCAGAGAGAGCGTGCCTCTGTGTTAAAAATGATTTCAGCTCCTCCGTTAGTTTTCGTCTGCACTGTTTGTCTGCTGTGTTGTTAGAGTCGGACTGGAAGGCAGAACCACAGGCATTTCTGCTGAAGTTGGCACTGTTCCTCCACACTTCATTACACTTCCATTAGCTTGGCGATAGCATGGAACAGTGTGGCTTCAAAAGGCCTAAAACTGCTCAAGAAAAGGCAACGTTCAATTATTGAGTTAAACATTTGGTGGAAATATTCTTCTCGTGTCCGTCTTTCTCTGTCTCTTTGTCTTCCTCAGTGTTTTACAGATAATTTATCCCATATGTTTCAGCAGTGCCAGGCAACCTAGGCTCTGTGCTGAT